ATAGAAATGTCGCATCAAAATTAGCCTAATTCAATGTTTTTCCATGTTTCACATCATTTTTATATAACATGTTTAATAGAGTCTATGCTTGAGCAATTAATATCTAGATACATCCATACACTTATTAGTTATACTATTTTTTTATGTATTTTCTTCCAAAAAAGAAGAAAATTCTATGCATCCGTCTCTAGAATATATACATATATAATAAGTAGACAAATTTAATTTACAGTAAGTTCGATGTGTGTATGTGATGAGAGAAAGAAAAAGGAATATGTTTTGAACATAGTCAGGAAAAAAGAAAAATGTTGATTGATCATAAACAAAAAAAGAAGATGAAAAAATCGAAGAAAAATATTATTGCATTAACTATCCACAGTTCTACATTTTGAATAACAAATATGTGAATCATCCGTTTTGAATTATCTGATCTTAAACTACACATTTAGCATCAAACAACAACATAAAAAAAAAAAGATCTTGATAAGAAAAGTGAATTAATTATTAATATAAGATTGTAAAGAATAATGAACTTAGATGAATAATGGGCGATTATTAAGGTCACAATTTGTTGAAAAGAGCGGCTTTTATCCAGTCATCAGGCTGCTCTAAAACTTTTCGATTGAATGTATGCCACGATTCACCCTATAATCGTTTAATCGTATTATAAGGTGAACAAAAAATCGTTATGATGTATAATCACCCTATTTTCAACCTGTTACGTAGATCACTGACTATGAAGTGTTATTAGAGGCTAAATTAACATATTTTTGACCATTGGATCAATTGAAATAAAGAACTGCAGACTATTAACGACGCTGAAGAGAATTACAACATGAAGCAAACTCTGAACAGACATGTAGACGATATTTGTATAGCATACAGAATGTGTAGTGATGAAAGTGAAGAAGAAATCATGTCACAGATCCCATCGATCAAGTGATCTACTAATCTGTGCATTGTTAATTAGCTGATATGAGTGATAGTTATAGATTAATTGGTTGGTTGGTTGGTTGGTTGGATGGTTGATCAGTTTTCTAAAGAAAAATAAAGTGGAACGTAAAAATGGTTGTTTTGTGCTTTCTCCTTGTATAACAGAGCCGACTACTCTGATCTCTAAGTTAGGGTAAATAAGTAAAGCAGATGAACAACTATGAATTAATGGATTTCGGTAAGTGAACTATCATAGTCAGCATGGACAGAAATTCAGTTATAAAGCAACTGAACCTGGATCTCAAAGACGGACCACAAAGAATTGTAATGTACTGAAAAGGCGTCCTAATTGAATTGCACATTCAATCTCAAAGTTTTATTCAAACGATATATGTTTTTCATTTTGTTCAGAAATACAAAACGGAAAAAATGTTATTTTAATCGTAAGTCCTCTTAAGAATACATCGTGGAAACTATTCATATATATTCTGTGATTCTAAGCAGTACCAGTTTCCGCTAAAATTTGAGTGAGCAGTAGTACGGTGGTAATACATTATAACGACAAGATTGTATCAGATACAATCGTGCAATAATCTAGTAGTTCAATAAGCAAAGGAATGTCGGAACATGTTCATAAAATAATTGCCAACTGACTTTTGTTCAATATTTATAGTTTTATTTAATAACCTTTTTTCTTGACACTATAGTCCTTCCGGTGGTAAACTTTCTCGAACAACATGACTTAAGTTGAAATTAAGGATGTTGATTGATTATAAAGTTAATTGAGATCAGTAGTCTGGCCTAGTTGTAAGACCGTTGCACAGACTTGTCAGCTGAGCATATTCATGACGGGCTTTCAGGATCACCATTTGAATATTACTGGTTTTGTCGCAAGGAGATTCCTAAGAGTTAAATCATAAATGGATATCATCGAAGTACATCGTATTCTGCTTTACCAAGTAGAAATCCCATAAGCCACTTCTAACGTGATTTATATCTATCAAGATAAAGCAACATAAAAAGCTAAAGTATAGCTCTGAACCTGTTGCAGGAGAAGAATTTGACGAAATACAATAAACTCAATAGTGTTTGTTTCTCAGTTGTTTAAATTAACATTATAACTCTATAAAAAGCTTCTACTGATTAAATTTCATCACCATCACCATATGTTAGACAAAATGATTATTAGTAGTAATTAATTATTAATAAACAGTTAAAAAGTTAGAAATACGACTGTATCTTATCGCGCGAATAATCTCAAGTCATATAATCAAACGTTAATCTTCTTATCAAGAAAGCGTTCACTTGTACGATAGATACTTTCATTTTTCATGGTAAGTTTGCGATGATTAAAATCTTAATACTGAATTTCGATGAATTTATAAATCTATCTGAGATAACGTTGCTAAATGTCGTTGCTAAAATCAATGTCAATTCAATCTTTGAGTAACATGCCGAATACATAGCACCACATATCAACGTGAAGAAAAAAATAAAGTTCATTTAGAATCGCGAAAAAGTACCCCCAGAAGATTTTCTATTCTTGGCAAGGGGTACTGCAAAAAATTTAAGAACAATTTCAAAACTAATATTATTTTCCCATGAAAATTTTTTTGCACTATTTTGTTCGAAAAAACTTTCTTAAACCTTTTACAGTACCCCGTAGCCAAAAATAGAAAATCTTCTGGATTATTGAGTGTATTGGATACGAAAAAGCACTTTTTCGCGACTCTAAATGAACTTTGTTTTTCCGTCGATGATATAATTTTAATTGCTATTTGACCTAGTATATTTTAAGCCATACAGAAAGAAATCGAGACAAAGTAATATGTAGTTAGCCATTTTATTAAATTTAATGTATGCATAGAACTTCATAAGCGCTATTCCTTTCACTATAGTATATTGTAACTATTTATTATCTCACGAATGAAAACTGCGAAGTTTTGGAAAATATGTTTGTTTTTATGAAACTCTTTATATCATAATTAGAATCAATAACAAACAAATAACTTCAGATGTGTCTACAACACTTGAAGAATAGTACCATCTTTTTTTTCGAATTTCTATTATAAAGAATAAATGAGATCGAGTACTTGACTCAAAAGACAAATATGTGAGAATTTTTTTACTAAAAAATAACAATACTTTCGAGTTTCACTTTATGGTTTTAGAATAATGTTTCGGTTGATTCAACCTTCTCCAGGGTATTCTTTTCCTGAAGTGTTTGTAAATATGCTGATATTCATTCAGTGATAATAAACTAAAAACATAACACAACGATTTTTCGTAGATAAACGTTTTTAATGACTACAACTTGTCTCTTAAATGATACGCGATGATCCGTTAACAAAAATATTCTTATTATTTCTTCTATTTTCGTATATCAAGTTATTATTATAAATTCAAGGAAAATTAATATACATTCATCTTTAGATAAAGTTTCAGTTACTTTCTCTCTCATTCTCTATATATGTTTTCTCAACAAAAAATGGGAAGTCATGTGAAAAAGTCAATAGATGCGAGAAGAAAAAAAAAAGTTCTTATATTAGACTATTCTATCTTTATTGCTGTTGAATAAATTTACATTAACTATATATATATATATATCTAATCAATATGAATGGAAGAAAGAGAAAGAGAGAGAAAATAATAATAATAATAATAATAATAATATAAATCTTCTAGCAAGGAATAAATTAGAATATATATGTGCAAAGAAAGAAGCGACCAGTTTAATCATTTCTTGCGGACATATCTAATTAGTACTGAATGAGAATTAATATATATGTTGAAATTTTTGTCGCATCATACATTTTATATGTATTGTTGTTATCGACACAATAGTACACAGATACATACAAAAATGAACAACATTGTCATCAGTAAAGAGCAAGAGAACAAAAAATATTTTTGGGATGATCTCTAGAAAAAAAAAAAAAATAAAACTTTTTGGTCCTATCACGAGAATAAACGTCGTATATCTATATAAATATTTATTGAAAAAAAAACTTGTCACACCACTACACATCATCTTCTTCATCTCTTTTTTTGTCATTTCTTCTCTTCTACTGTCTAATGAAAATTAGATGAGTATTTACATTTTTGATGATGATGATGATAATGCCAAATCGGCGCAATACCCAAAACAAATAAAGTTTTTCTTTTTTTTTTTTTTTTACTCTTCTATAATAATGTCTTTACTTATTTATTAATTGAACTAAATCTCTATAAAACCAGATCTCTATAATCAGTAAACTAAAATTTCAATTTTAGATTATATACAATAGTCGATTCTAACTTAATTGGTAAGTCTATAACCGAACGAATTTTTATCTTATAAGAATGTTTAGTGTGAATAACGATACAATTTAACTCCAATCAATTTTTCTATCTTGCATAAATATCCATATTTCTTGATATTATATTCACTGTATGAAAAATGAAACTCTAATTTGGCCAACAAGAGGCTAAAATATTTCTTTTTTTACAATTTCTAGTGTATTTAGTACAGTTACATTTTGTTGTTGCATTTATATCATACTAATTACTCTTCTATTTCTCATTAGTATATCTATTTTGGCATAAAAAACCGGCGTTATTAATGACTGATGAATAGACAAAAAAAATAAAAAAGATGATAACCAATTGAATCAATCACTCTAGACAGTATTCACATTCTTTTCATGATAAATATACAGGTTTAATGTAGTACATTGAACAGATAATTTTACAGTTAATTGCATCTCGACCTAAAACTGTTTTACATTTATCAGGAGAAAATAAATCACAATAAGAACGTATTTAAGAAAATGACTCAAATTTCTCTCTTTTTCTCTCTCTATCTTTCTCATTCTCTCTCTCTCTTGTACATATAACATCTATCAATACAAAAATATAAAGCACATTCTGCTTTAACAATAGTTTATCTCTAAAGAAATCATTTAATTGATTCAGTTTTTGTAAATCTATCAAAATATTATAATAAATATCAATTTTTCTTTTTTTTAAATATTAGTAAAAATAATTTATCGATTATTTAGAAACGTTTATGAGAAATACAAATACCAATGCAAAGTGTTAAAAGCTATTTTTCAACATGGAAACCTTTTTGGAAAAAAACATCATCATCAGAGAATCATCAAAATAATTATCGTACATTAACATTGTCACCATCGACAGTTAATTTTACAAATTCAAGTTTAGGTGATTTAAAACATTCGATTATTGATGAAAAATTAATGATTGATATTTCAACAAAATTAATGGAAAGTGATTGTCCACCAAAATTACAAGTGGTAGAAAATAATCATCAATGGTTTGCACTCAATAATAGTCATTTACTTGTTTATAGACAATTAGAACGAATTGGTCTATGTGATAAAGTTGGTAAGTTATTAAATTTGATTATATAGACAATGTAACAGATTTTATATATATATATTTTTTTTTTTCTTCTTTTTTTCTAGTTTGTGATATCATACCGAGTCAAAATATTCCAGAAGGTATACGAGAAACATTAACTAATCATAATAACAGCAGTAATCCATTTATAAAACGACTATTACATACAACGTCATCTTCGACAACAACACCTATAACATCTCATAATTATCATCAAATCAATGAGAGAAATACTGTACACGGACAATGTGAACAATATGTTCTTATGGATGATTTGGATGGTAAATGTTTTATTAAATATTAGATTATTATATTTTATTCAATAGTATATATATTTTAGGAGAACAACAAGATGAAATTTTGTATTATGCTGATATACCAACAGATTCTTGTGCATATTTACAAGATGAACAATGTGATTGTGATGGAACATATGATAGCGATTCTGAAACACGTAGTGAACAAACGGATGAAAATTATGGAGGTGATTGTATAAAATAAAATAAAAATATATATATTTTTTTTCTAATTTCTAATTTGTTTTATTTGAATTTTAGAATGGCAAAGAAGTTCTGCAATATCAACAACTAGCAATAATAATAATGAATTGGAACAAAGTGATGATGATGATAAAGAAAAAGAAATGCAAAGTTTATTATAAAATGACTCTTATATTATACATTTAATGTAACATATAAATTTATTCATTTTTCTCTCTTTTTCTCACTTTAAGGAATCAAATAATTAATTCACAAATGTGTGTTGTTGTTTTTTCCATTAATGGTGCAATTTGTCAGATTAGCTGATTTTAATTTAATTTCTAAAATACGATAGTCCGTTTTAACTTCGATCAATTTATTCGCATCACATCAGCGATTTGTTTTTAACAATCATTTCGTACGATTCCTTATACACTTTTTTTCCTTTCCAGACACGCGAGTTTTCGTTATTTTATTTTTTTTATCTTTTTTTTTCTTTTTTGAACAGTTATTTATTGTCGTCCACTTGTATTTATCATTGATAGCAAGTGCATTAGTATTTGACAAATATTCAGACAAATTGCTTGATGGATTCGATCGTACTTACCTCTCGATCATTAAAAACCAATTATCCTACAATAACTGTTTGTTTTTTTTTACTAAATACTCAGTACCAAAGAAGAACTATACTATTGAATCTTTTCAGTTCAACATAACACATTGATATCATCACCCAAGCGTGATTCTCAAATTTTTGTTTATAAATATTTTAACCACAGTACATGACGTTCAAAGAAGAAAGCGAAAAAACAAAACAACGCAATAAATGATACTAATAAACAAAGAAAATATCACAGAACAAAATGTTCGAATCTCAAGTCAATATATTATAAATAATAAAACATATCACGAAAAATATCCATTCATTTGTTATATTGAAATATCTAGGAGCAGTGTTGATCTTTTGAATTAAAATTGCGAAAACAAATGCAGAATTTCGTTGGGATGTCACGGAAAAAAGAAACGAGAAAATATTACAAAGAATGAGAAGTTTTTTTTTTTATTTCTAACAACCAAATTATAATAAGAATAAGAATAATACTGTTCAACTTTTTCTTTTCCGATGAACAACAAAACAGTATCAAACAATATTTGTGGAATGTAAAAGGAATATAAAAAAAACCAACGAAAGAGAGAGAGAGAGAGAAAGAGAGATTCAACGTTGTTATTATTTATAATATATCTATGTTCGAAACATAAAAAGAACAAAATAACAATTTATTTAACTAAAAACATGTATACGTGCTTTTCGAGCACTGTGAAAAAGTTCTAAAGAAGTACATATTCCACAAGAAATTTAAAGAGAAATAAAGTTTAAAATAACACACATTCATACAAAGTGTATTTATTTGTGTTTATTTAGTCGCGAATATTTGGCATACGGAATATTTCGACATAGACATCCTGCGACAAACATAACAAATAATATAATTATACAAACTGCAAATAAATATGTGCTATGATTCGATTTTTGAAATGCTCTCCCTACATCCATTAAACCATTAATTTCATATAAAGACTAAATGAAAAAGAAACAATTTTAATTAAAAGAACATTTAAAAATATCAACTTTTCCATGTTTAATCGACTATCTAACGAGGAAAGGACACCAAGTGATAAATCGCTTCTAGCTTAAAACTTAGTGAACAATAGGTAATCGAGTGTGCTGATTCCGAATACTAACATGAGACGGGCCGCTAGGCCTCCAAAGACTGGATTTCCAGAAAACCAGTTTTCCAGAAACTCCAAGAGCTCTCCAGAACTTTTCTTAATAAGTTAAAATTGTAGCGCGCGAAATTCTGATCACAATGAGACATTGCCCAGCTCTACATGATATTTCTTTGCAAAGTTATGGAATTTACAAGAAAAGCCCTAAATGTTCATTGT